GTGGTAGCCTATGGAAGGCATAGGAAAGTAGCCAAGACAATTCTCAAAAATAATTTAAGCTGAATATTTCTCTCAAGTTGTTATTTGCCATTTTTGTTTTAAATTATGACCTTGGAGATTTTCCACTTTTCCCTTTTTATATGCCTTCAAATTTATTTCTTACGTTTTCCCTATTACATGATTATATCTATTTTAACTTACACTTCCCTACAACACAGGATATTTCTATTTTTAACTAATATGGCTGCCTACATTTATAAACATGTCCACATGCTTATTTTTCCAATTGCATTGTGCTATAGGAAATTTAGTTTCTTAAAAATATAGGGTTATTTTCTTATCTAAGTGCCAAACTTCTGAGTGATTTAACACTAAAAGGTTTTCAAAACCTTGATTTTAAAATAAACTGTACTGCGTTTCACCCAATTTTATTTAATAAAGTCTCAATTTTTGTTTCTCTTAGAAAAAAAAAGTTAATAACATTGCAAATGTGCATTACACAGTCTCCCCATGTCTCAGAGCGGAGGGATGTGTCCCCCTGGTGGAAGCTCCATGTTCAGAGCAAGGCCCTGAGCCAATGGGAGCCATGACGTCAGGCAGGCCTGCAGCCCACAGTCCACCGACCCACTGTGACAACACATGGACCGCTTACTTTCCTGACACTTGGGCAAAGCGATTTCTGAAGGAGTTCAAGAAATGCATCTTGTTTAAGCCTTTAGTAAAAATATGTGGAAGGAGAATAAAAGCGAGGATTGTTTTTAAAGTTTCTGATTTTTTGTACGCATGCTCAAGTAACTAATGAAATCTGGCCATTAGGTTTTAGCAGTGCCCTGAAACTCTGCAAGCAGTGAGGAAATGATGAGAGGACCATCTGAGAGGTTGAGATGAGCACTTCATACTCACCTAAATTTTATGTTGCCTTATCCGATGCTGCATTATACAGCAATCTGATAGAATTAGAACTATAGAGGAAATATTTTTTAAAAGTTTGGGGCAAAAGCATCTTCTATTTGTAGGTGCTTTATTTAACACCCACAACTAGCTAATTTTGTTAATGCACTGCATTTTTGTGTGGGAAGCTTATAATTGCTGCAACAGTGCACTTCTTTTCTCAAGAGTCTGAGTTGGGTTTTTTCCCCGCTGAGACTTTATGCTGGGGATGAAATTGTAATTGTGGGATGTATGCTATTTACATTGAAGTGTTCAGTAAATTATATTGTGTAGAAGACTCAATTGGAACTAGAATGGAAAATAAGAAATAATCATTTGGGCCAGTCATTAAGCATTGGCAACAGGTAAACAAGAAAATGTTAGCAAATAATTTACATGATAATGCAAAGTATTATAATATTTATATAAATATAAGAATCAGCCAGTTTTGGAAATTACTCATACATTTTCTATGTGAATGTTAGCTTTCAAGGCAGGTTAGTAAGCTGATCATAGCTAACCATGCCACAGTGGACTCATTAAACGTGTTTATTTTGGCTAAAGTGACTATTGATTGGAAAGGATTCCTGATGTTTCCATATGATCACTGTTTCTCCCGCAGATATTGCTCAGTTACACCCTGAATCATATCCCCTGAAGATTTTTATTGCTGAACTTGAACTTTATTCTGTTAGTCTGCTCAGAGATCTATTTTCTTTTTTCAACTTTGAAAACTCCTAATGGGCATTACAGTGGATCTTGATTTTGTAAAGTCGTACGAAAGAGTAGAAGCTGTGACTGAATGTTTGGTACAACATTATTTTGTCTGACTTTCTAAACAAGACACATGGGCTAAATACATTCCTGGAATCAAATGAAAGCTCCCAGCTTTGGCAGGAGCTACGAGTAAATAGATTCCTAATTACTTGTCCTTGACAGTGGTATCTCTGAAATGCAACAGAAATGACCATTTGGAAGCTGTCATTAATTGGCAGGTCATCAAATATAAGTTATTCTCATTAATTTTGGTTTTGGTAAGTTAATCTCCTCCCCATAGTTGGAGGTGTCTGAGCAGGCGATAGAACAGAACTCTTTCCCTTCACCCATATGCATGATCAATAATTAACTCCCTGAGGATTCCCAGTCATTATGTTAGTCGTTTGAGCTCTTCAAAGTATAATATGAAATGAAAAGACAACTAGTATTTTAAGCATCTACTAATATGGCAGATACTGTGCAAACTTTAGTATGAAGACGCAAAACCTCCATCCCAGTGGCAAAGCTATGTCATTTATTTATTTCTGAGGAGTAAATTGTTTAGCACAATACAGGGTAAAGCAGTATATAGGAAAACATTCTCTTTAGACAAAGGCAGAAGCTGAGTAATGTTTTATATGCCTTAAAAGTAAAAAAAAAAAAATAAAAATAAAAAACACAACACAAAAAAACAAGCCCTAGCCGGTTTGGCTCAGTGGATATAGTGTCGGCCTGTGGACTGAAGGGTCGTTGGTTGGATTCTGGTCAAGGGCACATATCTCAGTTTCAGGCTCCTCCCTGGCCCGGGCCCTGGTCAGGGTGCATGCAGGAGGCAACCAATTGAAGTGTTTCTCTCACATAGGTATTTCTCTCTCTTTCCGTCTCTCTTCCACTCTCTCTAAAAATCAATGGAGCTCTGGCCGGTTTGGCTCAGTGGATAGAGCATCGACCTGTGGACTAAAAGATCCTGGTTTTGATTCCAGCCGAGGGCACATGCCTGGGTTGCGGGCTTGATCCCCGGTGGGGAGTGTGCAGGAGGCAGCCAATCGATGGTTCTCTCTCATCATCAATGTTTCTATCTCTCTCTCCCTCTTCCTTCCTCTCTGAAATCAATCAATAAATATATTTTATAAAAATCAATGGAAAAATATCCTTGGGTGAGGATTTTAAAAAAAGTAAAAAAGAAAAAAGACATGACTCAGGTACCTTGAAACCTTACTAAATACCATGAAGTCAGCATTTTCTCTAATGTTCAAAATATTTTACACTTTGAAAAGTATATATGCATCTTTTATTTACACCAAAAAGAAATTAATTGGATTAGGGTTCTAAACAGTGTTTTCCAATCTGATAAACCTGAAGATATATTCAGTGAGTGGCTCTAGAATCCCTCCTAGCCCCAAAAGAGTTCATTTGGGGGCCACACCCGCCCCCTTCCTCTTCTGGAGCAGAATTTCATGGTGAATAACCAGGAATGGATGGAAGGATATGAGTGGAGAGAAGTAGAGATACATGAAGGGTGTAAGTAGATGTTTGACTTCCCTCCTGGATGTGTATGCATCCACATTTCCTAAACACTTTCACTAAAAGCCAGCTGGCTCTCTTGAGTCACCACACTATTCCTGCGTTATGTCCTAAAGGAGACCATTGTTGGGTCTGTTGACTTTAATCAAAATTGAACACTCTCTAAGGTAAGATGGCAGACAATTCTTACAAGCCTGATTTCAAGGCCTTAGTGTGGTTTCAGTGAGGTTAGAGCTACAGAATTTAGACCATTATATGCAGCATGTAACCAATACAGGTTGCCATACTGAAGACAAACAAAAATTATATCGGACACTGTTGAGCACTTTTCAATGTGAAAGGGATTGTTTTGTTTGTGTGTTAATCCTCACGCAAGGATATTTTCCCATTGATTTTTAGAGAGAGTGGAAGGGAGGGGAAGAGACAGAGGGAGAGTAACATCGATGTGAGAGAGACATACCAATTAGTTGCTTGGAGATCTAGCCTGCAACCGAGGTACATGCCCTTGATGGGAATCGAACCTGGGACCCTTCAGTCCACAGGCGGACACTCTATCCACTGAGCCAAACTGGCTAGGGCATGAGAGGGATTGTTTTAAGTTTTTTCATTTATTATCTCATTTTAATGCTCAAAGCAACTCAATAATGTAGGTACTATTATTGCTATTTTAGAGATGGAGAAACTGAGGCACAAAGAGGCTCACAAAGGAGCCCAACATCACACAGATATCAAGTAGAAACACAGAGATTGGAAGTGAACACACTGTTTAACAGTCCCAGGTGCTATTAACCACTATGACATATTACTTCCCCAAGATTGGATATTGTGATACTTAAAAAAATAACTTAAATCATCCCACATAATCCCTGACAGATAAGACAGTATTCAGGAAATGCATTTCAGTCATTATAGGTATATCAAAAGCTAAATAAAATGCTGATGACATTACTTTTCTGTTGAAATTTACCTGACTCAGGCAGGCTTACAGTATAAGGCTCAGCTCTTCTATTAAAAATGTATTTTAAATTTATTTTATAAACAGTTTTATTGTTTTATAAAATATGTTTGCTTATATTTATCTGATTTTTAATTATTAAAGTTCTTGTCAAATCTCCTCAGGGACACTTCTGGATATGCTGATCAATATTATAAATTCCTGCATGCAATATAAGTATTAATAATTAACCTTTCTTAGATGTGATACTGTATATTTAATAAAGAGCAATACTGATTTTATAATGATTTAAGTTCAATTTTTCCTTTCATTAAAGGAATTTATTCTAAATCCTTAAAGCACTAAGACTCTTATTTTGGCAAAAAACAACTTCATTTAGGCTGTGAAAAAAATTTTAAGTTCTATCTATTCCTAAAGGACTTACTTTAGCATTAGTTTCAGTCAAATGTTGTCTGTTTTCTTACCCCCTTGACTTCATATGTTAAAATATTTCAAAATAAATAAATCTATCAAGAAATTGTCTTAGGTAAGCTCTGGGTGACAACGAGTTGGAACCCAGCTATCAACATGAGATATCTGAGACCCTAATCATCATTTTTAACTTTACTGATAAAAAGACTTCTGAATACATGGGGACATAATTTTTAGGTTGTTTTTTTATTTTGTTTTGTTTTGGTTTTTAATAATCAATCTCTTCAGAGAGATTGCTATTTTAAATCTTTATTTTTAAAACTGCACCAGGTAAAAGTATATAATTCTACATTCATTATTAAAACACTTGTTTTATAGGTAAAGAAATGTGGAAAGTTGATTTCCCCCATTTTTGTTTTTATAGATGTTCGAAGAAGAACAATTTATGAATACCACCGAGTAGAGTTACAAATGTCAAAAATTACCAACATTTCAGCTGTGGAGATGACCCCATTACCTAGTAAGTTAACATCTGAACACAACTAGGTGGGAAAATGATTTGCAAGTTTGATGATCTGGTCTGTTCGCCAATAATAATAACATGGTACTTGGCATGGACAGGCATCTTGCATGAATACAGGATGGGTGGTTTGTTTTTATTTTGACTGAGCCATCATTGTTGTTGATTTCTCCATCCTCCCAACTAGTCTGGATGACTGCATTCTCTCCTGTTTCCTAGCGTGCCTCCAGTTCAATGGTTGTGGCCCCTGTGTGTCCTCCCAGATTGGCTTCAACTGCAGTTGGTGTAGTAAACTTCAAAGGTAAACAAGAATAATACCAAAAAATTTTGAATTTTAAAAAGACTTGCTGCTTCTGCTCTTTCATTAAATTTTAAATGTGCCAGGTGTGTTGATTATCAAGTGTGTGTGTGTATTTTAAAAATGCCATGACCAAAAAGCATTAAAAAAATGCTTACACATGGAAGTTTTTTCCTTTACCTGGTTGCTCAAAATTATCAAGAATCATCATGTCAATAAGGTTGTTATCTGACATACATTTGTAATCTCTATGGGGCTGAAGATAGGTGATGGTTGCAATTGAAAAATCTTCAAATTGATGCTTTTGGTCCATATTCTACAGAAGGCATGGCATTAGATATCTTTACTATGACAGGAGAATTTATTCTCAAGCTCATGAATATTTTTAGAACATACTGTAACTATCTCAAAGGTTACTAGCCAGTTTGAGACACGTAGAACTATGGGGCTGAAGATAGGTGATGGTTGCAATTGAAAAGTCTTTAAATGGATGCTTTTGGTCCATATTCTACAGAAGGCATGATATTAGATATCTTTACTATGACAAGGAGAATTTATTCTCAAGAACATGAATATTTTTGGAAAATACTGTAAATATCTCAAAGGTTACTAGCCAGTTTGAGACACGTAGTCTGAGGGTGAGGAAGAGAGTGACACCAACTGGCCTTCACAATAGAATGGGCGGCTTTGGTCTGTGCTGTAACTGATTGACTTTGAAACTTAAGCTGCCTCACTTGTCAAAGAGGGTTATGATTGTCATGCATGGTAAAGAGGATTTTTCAGTCCTTAGAGCTTAGAAGATTCTGAATGATCATTTGTTAGAAATACAGAGTGAAGACCTTTACACATGTTTTGGTATTTACTCAACCATTTGTGCATGAATTTTGTCCCCAGCACTGGGAAAGCATCAATGAATAACACAGACGTGGTCCCTGCCCCCCACGGAGCGTAAGGTCTAGTCTGTGTGAGAGTAAGTCCCCCTCTCACCTTCAGAGTCTGTGATAAATCTGCTTCTCCCTCCAGGTGGAGAACCGAATCCTCAAGCTGTTAGTCAGTGCCTGTGGCCTCAGAGTGTTCTGCTGTCAGCTGTCTCTGTCTTATCATCTTGCTGCAGCATTTGCTGTTATGATAGAGGCATGTTCAGGAATATTTTAAAAGTTATCGGAGTATAAAGAGTAGAATGCCAGTTCCTTGATAACAAGCTTTAGGAAACATGTTTAACTTGCTAACTTTGGGGCAACCACTACATTATTCTGGATAGAACCATATTATTTATTATAATTTATGTTTTGTTTTCAATTTAACATGTTGTTCCAATAATTTCCTTTGGGCAATGGATTTCAAATAATGAAAAAGCAAGCAGGCAATTAGCGTTCTTAAGAGTAGATTTTAACTAGCTGCATCTCCAGAGTGGAAAGAACTGCTATAAAATCAAGGGTGTGTGGCTATTTATATTTATATTTTGATGACATTTCACAAAAATTATATGCATGTTAGAAATTATTCCAAATCTGTTTAGATAATGACCAAAGTGAATCTAAAGAGATGGCATTTTAATATGCATATTTAAGTAATGCTGAGCTCAGACATGAAAAATGCCCTAAAGAATGAAGTAGAAATCTCTGGTTTGGGGTGTGTATCTAATTCAAATTCCAGTTTAGTGATCAGCTCCTCTGAGAAGTCTCCCTAAACCACAAGTTTGTGTGAAATGGCCCCTGTGTCTCCCTGGCATCCTGGACACACTTTCATCATTAGCATTTAGCTGTTCATTCGTCAGTCTCCTTCATGGGCTCTGGGTTTATTAAGCATGTTTTGCCCTTTTACCTACAGCACCTAAGAATGTACCTGGTGCTGCAGAAAAATAGATGAATGAGTCAATGAATGAATGAATGGTGATTCGGTCCCAAGTGAAGAAATCATGATTAGATTTACCTGGGATTAAAGGGCTTCCCAGGATGAGGGGCTTGCAATGCGGAAACCAGGAAAGTCAAGGAAAAACCAGGTCAAGATTGCCACCCAGCCAGAGTACTATTAGGACAATTCTGGACTGAAATAATGTTTTGGTAATTGAAGGTTTGGGACATTCATCTTTAAACCTACATTCTGCTAACCATTTCATTATGGTTTTGAAACATCCTGTTGGTGGAAATATATGTTTAAAGTTCCAAACAAGCAATTTTGGCAATAAGATGACATCCACAAATTGGAAACTGCTCTGTACTATTAATAATTTCATTGAATTGAGATATTTCTCTGCCAGTCATTGTGCCAAGGAATTTGCAAATGTATTTAACTTGTACAACATTTTTACAGTGGAGGAAACTGAAGCTAAGTTATCTGTGCAGGATCTCATTGCTCTTAAGTGTTAAGTTCAGAACTGAAGCTTAATCGGTGTGACGCCCCTGTCTGTGGTTTTGACATCTGACCGGTTCTGCCTCACACCTGTGAGGCGTCAGGTACAAGTTAATCTTCTTCACAGCCTGAGAAATGGTAGACATACTGCTGAAAAATCAATATTTTTTATAATTGATATTGCACAAAAGTGATAAAGGTTTTATAGGCATAAAAGAATGCAGAAGAGACTCAAGCAAAACTTAAGACTATTGTATGTTATTGAAAGCATAGTTTTTTTAACAAATAATAGTAAAAAACAAAGGTCCCTGGTGAAGCATATGAATGAGGAAGGAACTCATCAAATAACACTACTAAAAAAAAAGGTATGAGTTTTCTGCATGTTACCACTTAATGTTTTCTTGAATACCAAACTCTGGTTTAAAATCTAGGATTTATTTTTAGTTCTTCAGCAACCCAGTTATATACAAAATAAAACGTGCCTAATTAATTGGTTTAACTATGGCTCATTGCACCTTTGTTTAACTTAATTTCCCCACTGCCTTTTATTAATATCTCCTTTGACCTGTGAGCTTCAAAACTTGGCTTTTGCTGCCTGGAAGCATTTCCCCAGTCTTTAGAGCTTTTATTAACAAATTCATATAAACAAGAGAGGTCTTATCCTTAGCAGCACAAAAGATGCCTCACAGATTTTCCTTTCATCCTTCTTATATTCTCCTTTGTTCTCATTTATCCCTGAATAATAATCAGTTGATAGTGATTACTGAAACTCTTAAGATGGGCTTGCTTTAAGAAGATAAGTTCAATTGGTTTGTTTATTTCCTTTAATTCTTATTCTTCAGGGAGCAAAAAACTAAGGTAGAATGTTTGTAATGGCTTACCCAAAGTACAAAGGAAACTGGGTCATAGGGACATACACAGAACACCATCAAAAGTGTTTACCTAGAATAGATGGCCCACTACTTCTAGGTAAGGATGCTTTTATTTATTCACTGCAAATTGAGAGGACCTGAATCAACCACTTTCAATTACACCTTATATCTTCACTCATTTAACAAAACAATTTTAGTGTCTCTATGTTGGAGTTACAATCCTAGATTGTAGATTCAGCGATGAGCAAACAAGAAAAAAAACACTTCCCTCAAAGCTTATGTTTGTGGTATTGGGAGATAGATTTTAAGCAAATAGATATGCAGAAAAATATACTTAGTAAGGATGAGTATTATGGCAAAAAAGTAAGCAGGGCAATGTAATGGACAATATAGCAAAATTGATAAGAATAACAGTTTACTTGTTGGGATCATGCTAAGCAACCTTGACTTTTTTGAGAGACCTTGGTTTCATCAGCCATCATCCTCCAAAAGTTTATTTTTAAATTGAAAATGTATTTTGGTTCTTAAAATAGTCATTCACTCATTCACTTACTTAAAAAGTTACTGAATGCTTTCCACACTAGTCTAAACATCGAGGTAGTTATAACAATAACCAGATATTAATCAGAGCCAAAGCTCTCATAGGGCCTTAGAGTTTAGCTTATTAAGCTGGAAAACAAATGAATTAATAATTAAACAAAAATGTCAATTGATGATGAGTGAGCTATTGAATGTAAAAGAGCCAGTAGTTGCTTTCAACTGAGTGGCCAGGAAAGGCTTCTTGGAGGAAATGAAAATTAAACTTAGATCTGAATGATAGGGAACTAGCTACACTAAGGTGAAGGCAGAGTGTTTCAAAGGGACTGCCAAGTGCAATGGTCCTGCAATGGGTTCAGGCTTGATCTGGAAGAAAAGAAAAAGGTGCAGTGAGTTAGGAACATTGAGGGTTGAGCATGAATGGTATCAGATGAGATCAGAAAATAGCAAAGTATCCTATATAATAAAAGGCTAATATGCAAATAGACCGAACAGCAGAACAACTGAACAATCGGTCACTATGATGTGCGCTAACACCAGGGGGCATGTGCGGAACATGGCGGGCGTTGGCAACAGATGGCAGAGCACAGAACATGGCGAGTGTTGGCTGTGGTGGAATGGTGGAGCAGGTGAGCGGGGGGCACCAGACCAAGGTGGGGCACTGGTCGCTGTCATCGGGGCCACCTCTGGTGGTTACTGAAAATTCTTTGCTCCCTCATGCTGCAGTCCTTCCCACCGCTCGCACCTGCTGCCGGCACCAAGCGCCGGTCCCAATTGCTCTGCTCTCAGCGGGTGTGAGCGGCAGCTGCTGGTCCCTATAGCTCCTGAGGGCTTCCCCACCTCTCCCTGCTCCTGAGGGGCAATCGGGGCAGCAGCCACTGCTTGCACCCACTGACAGCACCAGCCCTGCTCTCACCCATTGTTGGCGCTGGCCCCAATCACTCCATGCCATCGGTGGGTGCAGTTGGGGCCAGGTGCCCTCAGCATGTGGGAGCTGCAGTGGCAGGAGTGGGGCTGCCAGCAGACAGGGGACCAGGGGCCATGCAGGGACACAGAGGATGAGCCGAGACCCTCCCCTGTGCCCACCACAGCCTCATGGCCTACAGTTCCTTTCAAAGTGCACAGATTTGTGCACTGGGCCCCTAATCAGATATAAACAGCTTTGAAGTCAGCAAAGGTTTTATTATCAGGGTGATAGGAACACTTTAGATTATAGAAGAACCTAAGCAGAGGCATGATGTG